GTGAATGTTCACAACCACACACAAACTCTGGTGATTCGCACCCACGCACACAACTGTGAACATGCACATCAGTGGAAATGCTGTGAATGTTCACATCTGTTTCACTATGCTAATCACATGAGCCTTCACTTAATTTTTTTTAAATGCTCCATTTTGCAGATGTCGCACAAAAGAAAACCGCAAAGAGAAAAAGAGATGAATACCATGTGAAGGAAGAAACCCTACAAACAAATACTTGCACCAATGTCGACATGCGCCATGTGAACTACAGATCTAATATGACCGGGCTGGTCAAATTAATGAAAACCACCAAGTTCACAGAAGCACAGCTTCGGTGCCTTCGACAAACACCTTTTTGGAATTTGTTTGATGCATTGAGAAACAATCAGATCGACCTTGACAAATGCATGAAGTATGATGATGTTGTTGTGCATGTCCTACAAATGTACAAAGTTTCAAAAGATGCCTTCTACATTGGGGAGAAGAAGATGAACATACACAACAGCGACATCAAGCTGATTTTTGGTGTGGACTGTGGCAGCAAGCCGATGGACATATCATATGGTGCGAAACCAAAGACTGGCATTGTAAACAAAAGATGCAAAAACTTCAGCCGGTTGACTTCAAAATGGATACGCACCCTTTTGACCGAGGCATTGAAAGGCAAAAAGAAAGATGACAACGAAGAAGTTGCCCGACTAGTGTGTATGTATGCTTGCCAAAAGCTTTTTTTCTCAACAAGCGGAGAGACAATAGGATGTAGCTACTACGCACATATGGTCCCATTGGAAAACATGCAGGAATATGATTAGGCCAAGCAAATTAGGACAACGTTGACATCGTTTATTTCCCAAAATGACAAAAATCCAGCAAAAGTCACAGGCTGTGTCATGTTATTGATGGTAAGTACCCATGTTGTCAAATAATAACATTCACATGTCCTCCAGTGTTGTTCATCTAAGCCAACTGTGAACATTGACATCTGTACCACTGATGTGAATGTTCATAGGCAATTATATTTCACAGATGTGAATGTTCACATCTGAATCACTGATGCGAATGTTCACATTCACTCATAATATACTACTGTGAATGTTCACAACAGTGCCACTGATGTGAATGTTCACATCTGAATCACTGATGCGAATGTCCACATTCAGTCATAATATACTACAGTGAATGTTCACAACACTGCTCCATAGGCAATTATGTTTCACAAATGTGAATGTTCACATCTGAAGCACTGATGTGAATGATCACATTCACTCATAACATACTACTGTGCATGTTCACAACAGTGCCACATCACTTATGTTTCACAGATGTGAATGTTCACATCTGAACCACTGATGTGATTGATGACATTCACCCATAACATACTACTGTGAATGTTCACAACGGTGCCACATCACTTACGTTTCACAGATGTGAATGTTCACATCTGAATCACTGATGTGAATGTTCACATTCAATGATAATGTACTACTGGGATGTTCACAACAGTGTCACTGTGATTAATATTCACATATGTTGCCATTACTATGCAAATGCTAAATAACAATATGTGTTTCTTGTTTTATTGAAGTACTGGTCATGTGAGCACACAACCATCCTACAACCTCACAAACCTAATGCTTTTCCTCGCTGCGTGAAGTGGGATCTGACTGCTTTACAGAAGAAGATGAAAACCACCTCTTTAGCTGATTTGGGTTTTAATGAGGTAGGGCCTTCAACTACTGATCAAAACATTCACGTTATAACACCACCCAAATATATACGTTAAGTAACATATTTTTTCATTTTCAGGTTAATGCCGGTGAACTCTTTGCAATTCCAACAAAATTACAAAAGTTCAAGCGTAAAACATTGAAGGTGGAGCCTGAAATTTATGAACCAGCCACAACATCTCCCAACCTTTCTGACATCAAGGGAGAACAACACAATGGCAGCAACTCCCACTTTTCTGGGGATGGGGTAGAGCTAAAGGACAGTAATGAGGACATTCACATTCCATTTAGTAGCTAACATTATGACAGAGCTATTGTAATACCAAACACAAACCAACCTGATATCATTGATGTGCTTATCGAAAAAAATCGGAAGGCTTGGGGTGTCATAAGGCAATGGGAAGCAAAGTACAAACACCTTCAATTTTCATAGGAGTTAAGGGCAAGAATCATAGCTAATCTTGAACATAAATTGTTCAACCAGTCCAGCCCGCCCAACGTGAATATCGAAATAAAGAAGTGCATGGAGTAGAAGGATAAAGAAATCAAACACTTAACGCAACTGGTCATTGACTTAGAATGCGATAAAACAATTCTTCAAGATCTTTACGATGACCAGTCAGTCCACATTGTCACACAGGCTGTGGCAGAAAAGCAACCCCCTAGCCCAATGCAACACAATATCAGCCCACCTTCTAGGGTCAAGCGTATAAAGGAAAAAGATCGCAAAGAACATCGCTTGCCTGACTTCCAGTACCCAGACTTACCTGGCCAAAAACAGCCCCATCCAGTCGAAATGGTTGAAGATGTGGAGAAACGCCCACCAGCGAAGCAACCAAAAAAATTATCCTTGACCAACAAGTTCAAAGTCTAGAGCAAGATGTCCAAACAAGACAAACAAAAGGTCCAAGCTTTACAAAAAAGTGAAGGCGATGAGTAAGTGACTGTACAAACATTTAATGTTAACATTCACATTCTGTAATAGTCTATATTCATCACTGTGTTTAATTTTTTTGGTTTGTTTAGATCTGTGCAATGTAAATATTCACATTGATTTGTTCATAATACACAGGCTACTGGTGTGGAAAGGAGATTAGAAGGCTACACATGTGTATTTTGATGACATTGTCAACCTTATCAAGGAGGAATCAATACACAACAATGTATGCCATTACAAACATAATTCACTCTTCATGCATATGCACACACAGACACACACACATACTCACAGCCATAAAATCTATATAATATGACCCCATGTTTGTGCAGCCCATAGATGCATATGCTGAACTGTTGCATGAACAACAAGAGGTGGTCAACCCAACTTCGGATGAAGCCTCATTCATGTTCACGAGCATGTGTTTGGTAAAATCTATCATTCCATTATTTGTAATGTGAATGTGAAACTTCACAGTCCATTAATTATTTGTCAAATATGTACAGAAAGTGATATGAGAGTACCACCCTCGCAAAAAGAGTAAACACATTGATGCACATGTCAAAAACTACCAAGGAGAGAGATACTTACTATTCCCATTGCAGCATGAGTACCACTGGACGATAGTTGTGTATGATGCTAAAGATAATTTGTGGAGACATTACAACTCATTGCGCCCAAGAACAAGCATACATGACCCGCATATCGACCAAGCATAGGAAGTTGTAAGGGCTATTTTTGAACACAAACATGACTTGTTCTCATACATTAAATGACTGTACACACACATATGTTTGTTGGTGCCTAATTTGAAATTTCATACACAGAGGAAGTACATTGAGCATGTTGTGAGTGTTATTGGCGAGTCATCACCGCTATACACTAAGTTAGTAGGCCAAAATCCAGCACAACCAATCAAAAGTGTTGATGTCTGTCCTCAGCAAGGTGACGACTCGTAAGCCTCACTACATTTTTTTTAAATCCTCCATAACCATTATGTAAATATACGTGTCAACTGCTAATCAAAACCATTTCGCATTTATAGAGTGGATTGCGGACTTGCAGTATGTTACATCATGCGGCCGCACATATACTATGAAGAAATTGTGGGCAGCCTCAGTAGTTCAGAATGGTGTGGACTACGAGATTTGTTAGTGCATAGTTTTTTGAATCATAAGAAATCAGAGCTTCATTAAAACCTATAGGTGGGGGGTGTCCACCTACAAACTAACCAACAGTCGATTTGAATGTTAATATGGAATGCGTTGATATTTTGACACAACAACTGATTGTAAAACAGTGATACAACATCTGTTAATGGGAAAAAGCCAGCTGTGAATTTTGAACTACTTTTGGTGTTGTTATGTTTTACAGATGTGAATGTTTACGGTTGCACCACTAATGTGAATGTTCACATTCACTTACGATATCCATACTGTTGTGTTGTTATGAGTGTAATTTCTGCGAATGTTTGAACCTAACTGTTCTATAATACACATACTTTGTGCAGGAGTGTACACTTGGTCTACATGACATAATTACGGATCACATACACATGTGTGAATATTCACATTTGTTCTTGCTCATAACAGTTGTAAATGTCATTCTTCTCTACCAAATGTGAACATTCACTTATGATATTCATATGCACTAATGTTTACAGATATGAATGTTCACAGTTGCAACACTGATGTGAATGTTCATACTCACTTATGATATTCATACTGCTGTGTTGTGATAAGCATAATTTGTGCGATGGTTTGAACCCGATTGTTCTATAGTACACATATTTTCTGCAGGAATATCTATGTCACATCATTACGGATCACATACACAAGTGTGAATATTCACATTTGTTCTTGTTCATAACAGTTATGAATGTTTTATGATTCTTTGCCAAATGTGAACATTCACTTATGATATTCATATGCACTAATGTTTGACAGATGTGAATGTTCATAGTTGCAACATTGATGTGAATGTTCATAGTTGCAACACTGATGTGAATGTTCATACTCACTTATGCATGTGAAAGTTCACATCATAACTTATATTCATGTCAACATTGACAACAATAAGGTAAAAAAGTTCAACCCATGTGCAAGTTTTCACATAATATGATTCTTTTACGTAAGTGTGAATGTCCACATTATGTATTTATCATTACAACTTTAACAAAATATCATTTTCATACACAAAAAGAAAATAAAAAAACACAAATGAAATACTAAGTTTGCCAAACCATTATTTTGCTTGCCAACACAACACAATCTTATTTTAAAAATGAATATAAGAATCCAATGTAAAACACAACGTTGAAATGAAAAATGTACATCCTATATCGGCTCCTTGCATGACTTCCGATTATGGCTCCCCAGCTTATCACATCTCCCGCACCTTATTTGCTTCAGTTTCTCACCCCTTGATGGGATCCTATTCTTTTTCGGTCTTCCGGGTGGTCTTTTCACAGTTAGCAGGTATATAGTGAAGTCCATGGGATCAAAAGGCGGCTTCTCCACCGATGGTAGAGGGAATATGGCACCCGAATACACTGCACGATATGTCTGTACATGAAAGTAATGTTCCACACAATCATTGAGATTGTTGTGGCTCTTCTGAATGGCAACAACAGCATGGTCACATGGGAATCGTTGATTTGCCATTTGAAGCACGAACATGTACGCATTGCAACATCAATAGTAACAGATGGTATCGAATGAACTTCAAAGACATTCTCATTGGCTTTGCTAACTTGCCAAGACCTGCTGTCATTGAACGAATCCATAAACCTTGTTTAGAATGTAGGACAAATAAGCTCATTCCATTTGTTTGCTTGGTCACACTGTGCAGACATTTGCTGCATCAACTGAGTACGAATTGTGTCCACCATTTGAGTGATAGGAAGATTACGTGCTTCTGTAATCCAGTTATTAAATGTCTCCGCCGCATTGGAAGTCATCTCCCCAAAACGCATGCCCCTGCACAATATCACAAACATTTTACAATATGAAATTTAACAGGTCTGAACATTCACGTTGACTGATGTGAACATTAACATCATTCGCAGTGAACATTAACATCAACTTACACAATAGACAGATGTGAACATTAACATAAACTTAAATGACAGAATAATGTGAATGTTAACAACAGAAAAATATGACAACATATATGAACATTCACATCATTCAAATCAGTCATCATTATCAGATGTGAACATTCACATCATTGATATTGAACATGAAACACAATTGGAAGATTTTTACAATTCCTAACTGAAAATTCACATAGCTACCATTCTGAACTTGACAAATGGAACACTTTATGAAACTATTATTACCTGAAGTATGAATTTTCCCAGTGCTCAGGTGCCAAGTCCTTGAAAAAATCATGTGCTCGTTGTTTACCCTCCTCTTTTAATTTTGCAAGCTTTTCATGGAACCCTACCACAGTTGGCTCATAAGCACAGTCACCCAAATTACTAACAAGGTGGTCCATAAATCCATTACGGTCTCTTAAATTGCTCTTCAAGTGTTGTAAGCAATAACCGTGATGAGCCGATGGGAACACCTTCGGCATAGCTTCTAACAGGCCAAGATTACGATCCGAAATAAAGGTAATCTGCCGGTTACCATCAACAACCTTCCCAAGTTCATGCAAGAACCACGACCAATTCGCCGTGGTCTCCGAATCAACAATCACAAATGCAACAGGAAACAGACCTACAACATAACACCAATATGCAACTGTTCATAATATTCCAAAGTGAATAGAAAACAATATAAACGAAACAGGTCATGTGAATGTTTATATCTACATTGCCTTATTACTATTGCTATTTCTGGATTCAAGTTCATAAACATCAATGATGTAAACATTCACATTAACGACCATTAATAATTCATTTTTGATTGTTCAGTAATTGATAATGTGAACATTCACAGTACTATTCATTAATGGATCAACTATTAGTAGTATACACTGATGTGAATGTGAATGTTCACATTACTGTCATTAGCAGACACAGATGTACAATAATGTGAATGGATTAGTGTATAATAATGTGAATGTTCACATTATTGTCATTAGCAGACACAGATGTGAGCATTCACATCAGTGCATACTAATGTCAATGTTCATATTACTTATAATTTCTCAATCACTCATTTGTCCATACTATGCATGTCAACGTGAATATTGATATGAATATACAGGTAAAAAAAATACTAACCATTGTTTCCGTATTTCGCCGTTGCCGCAAGTAGCTGACCTTTGTACTTTCCTTTGAGGAATGTTCCATCCAAGAATAATAAAGGCCAACAAGAATTGAACCCAGAAATACACGCAGCGAATGACACAAAGAAACGACAAAACTATTGACTACTCGCATCATAGTCAATATTGACATAACTCCCCGGATTGTACTGCATCACAGCATCCAAATACCACCGCAACTGGTCAAACGATAATGAATGATCTCCATGAATACTGGTCTTTGCTTTCTTCACAGCTAACCATACGACATGGTAACTCACATCTAGCCCATAATCCATCTTCAAAATAGTCACAACATCACACGGCTGAGTCAACGGCTTGTCCCTCACAATTTCAGATATGGTACTCGACACCAAATCCGAACTAACTCGCGGATTCTTCGATGTTCGGACATCCGTACCACAAGTATGCACATCACTAAAACTCTTGATGTAGAAAAAATCATTTGCTCGTTGTGCTCTACAATGTATAGCCCACAAGCAGCCCCTCTCCTCCCGCATCGCACACACAGCAGTAACTCTTGTTGTCTCGTTCTTCACGTATGTAAAATGAAACCCACATTGGATGGCATACTTACATAAAACATCACGAAATTCTTGTGCACCTCTAACAAACCATTGTCCCACATACGTAATACCATTTGCCCAAGGGGCTGACAACAACACCTTCTCCTTATGGTGGCAAAATCTCCGAAGTGCATCAATTTCTTCCTCAACCCCCACACGCACCAATCCCAAACTACTTGACTGACCAATATCACTTTTCAACTCAACCACAACTTCTACATGTTGTACCCCCATTGATTTAGCAAGCAGTAGCATGTTCTAAAATTCTTCCCTATTGTCCAAATTACACTTACTAATCTCAGGTAGTTTATAGAACAATGAAATAAAACCGACAGACAACTCATCCCATTTCTCACACAAACACTCCACCAAATGAGAATAACACATTGTGCGGGCAACATTTATTACAGTTGTACTGCAACCATATGTACACACCAGCAGCATAAAGGTATCCATCTCCTGTAAAAACACAAAAACACAACAATGAACAGTAATAAAAATCAATATGAAAATTCACATTGTGCAAAAAATAGATGACTACGTGTACAGTTCAAGTGCTAAATCCATAATTCACAATACGAAGATATGAACATTCACATTGATATTAACAACATGTCAACATTAAGCAAACATCAAAGTAAAATGAGAACATCAACAATCTTCACATAATATTAACAAGATGTGAACATTTACATTGACACATACACTCTGAATTATATGATACACACAGAGCCTCATTCAGCAAACATCAATTTTAAATGAGAACATCCACATTCTTCACATATTCCACATTAACAAAATGTGAACATTCACATTGATATATATACTGATAATCAAATCATCCACAGAGAGCCTCATTATGCATACATCAAAGTAAAATGAGAACTACACATTTAATCAAAATCAACATGAAAATTCACATTGTGCAAAAAAAAATAATGACTACGTGTACAGTTCAAGTGCTAAATCTATAATTCACAATACGAAGATGTGAACATTCACATTGATATTAACAAGATGCCAAAATTGCAAACATCAAAGTAAAAATGAGAACATCAACAATCTTCACATAATATTAACAAAATGTGAACATTTACTTTGACACATACACTCTGAATTATATCACACACACAGAGCCTCATTAAGCAAACATCGATTTAAAATGAGAACATCCACATTCTTCACATATTCCACATTAACAAAATGTGAACATTCACATTGACATATATACTGATAATCAAATCATCCACAGATATCCTCATTACGCATACATCCAAGTAAAATGAGAAATAACACTGTTCTTCACATAATATGAATGAACTCCCCTCCACAGGATCACATAAAAAGCATATAATTGAAAAACCAGAGCATCCAATTCATATCAATCCAAAAACAGAGCATCTGATCCATTAAACGAATGAAACCATAAACTGAACATGTATTCATAACCAAATTGATACTAACCTTAATCATGCAATCCTACAATCGTCCAAAAAGTCGAAAACAACTGATTTGAACTACTTATAGTCTGGAAAATGTGACAGCCGAACACCTTCCTCTTCGTCATCTTCACTCGCAAACCACAAAACCAGACTACAACAGCAAGAATGAAACCCTAGCACAACCAATCCTTGGAACGAGCATGCAAAACATAAACGTATCTTTTGGAATTGGATTGATGATGAAAAGCGTAAAATAGAAACTGCCAAACTGAATCAGCAAGGAAACAGGCACGTAATACGTAAATACGTATTAACACTGTACATATATATATATATATATATGGGGCCAGCATAGTCCAGGTAAATATATTAAATTAGAAAAATGGACCTTATGGAATAAAAAGAAAAGTTTATGGAACTAATCAGGTTATAATATTCCTTTGTGGACCTAATGGGTTATAACAACTCTAGAATGGATTTATCAATAAAAAACCCTAAAAAAATAGTTGAAAAATTATTTAGTCCTCTTGAGATAAATACATATGAAAGGTGTTTGGAAAGAAATTTTTTTGCCTTTTTAGGCTAAAATAGCATTAAAAGAAAAAATAAGTTAAAATAGTTAATAAGATAAAATGTCACATCAAATCCATAATCATTTCATTTTTTCTCTTATAAATATCATATCTAATTACAAAAAAATCAACTCACCTCCCAAACACAATTATTTTAGCCTACTAAAATAGAAAAAAATTAAAATAGCCTACTAAAATAACCAACTTCTTAAACAGCTACATAGTGTCCCAATTTCATTTTAAGAGATAATAGGATAAGTGCCACAATATGGTGTGAAGTATTAATCGAAGATCAAAAATTTTCTACTATAATATTGATATTTTAGCTTCAAATGAAAGAAAAATTGAGCATATTATTTTGTATAAAAAAATTATTTGCCTATGCCAATATAATTAAACTACAAAAAGTATAAAAATATAATGATAATGATAATGATAATGAGTTCCACTTTTAATAATAAAAAAATAAAAATAAAGATAGTTATGCTGAGTTCTATCATGCTAATTTGACTTTTTAAAAAATCATTATATAATTTAATTTGGTATTTTTAGATCTGCTCATATTGTCAACGTCTAATTTACCAATCCATTAAGGCAATAGCAAGTTATTTTATTTTTTTTGGGGTGCCGATACTAAGGCAATCACGGATCAATGGAGGTTGATGTGATTAAGTCATAACAGTGATCTGTGGTATTTTGGTGGAGACTTTTTTTTAATTTTTTTTGATAATTCGAACCATTCATATCATAGAATTCGTCGAATAGATCATCCTTGTAAAAAATTAAATTGATTGGAATCTATAACTCTATAATAAGAGCACTGTACGAGTACGAAATAAGTCTTCTCGTATGATCATGTTGATCAAGTTTGCACTCCTCCAAACAACGTTGCTTTGCCACCTGAAAACACAAACGTGAGCTAATCGACGGGTGTGTGCCGGACACCCCTCCGATGCCTAAGTCAACAACTAAACAATAGACAATAAGCTCTGTGTATTTTAGAGTAAGAATTGGGATACTTGTCCATAGGTCTGGTCATGAGCTTTTATAGATTTTACTTTGGCACAATCTTAATAGGATTCCAACTCTCCCTATGAGAGTCCTCCTAGGAATCACACACCCTACTCACTACCAACTAAGTGAGATGGTTTTGCACAATCCTAGTATGACTCTACTCTTCTTAGCAGAGTCCTCCTAGGAGTCACACTCCTACTCACTACCAACCATGTGAGATGGTTTGCACAATCCCAATAGGACTCTAACTCTCCTTAGTAGAGTCCTACTAGGAGTCTCATCACTGCAAGCCAAGTGAGATGGCTGAACCTTTTTACCTCGGTTATACATTCCTGACCGAACTGCCTTATCTCGGTCCCCTGCCATTCGGACCGTGTAATCGAATGTCAATCTATCAAATGCCACCCTACCGAGCTATACACAGCTCGGCCCTCGCCATTGATGCTACCTCATTTACCTCGGCTGACATCTTTACCTCGGCTGACATTGGAGTCAACCAGGTTATTTCAGCTCGGTGATACTTTAAGCACCACTGTCAGTCTTGACTCTGAGATGAAGCCCTGCAGAGCTATCCTTTAGCTCGGTTCTCCCCTCACTGATACCTTGGTTTTGTCTGTTTAGACCGAGCTAACTGCAGCAGTCTCTGACCGAACTAACAAGGACGAGGTCCAACTTGCGAAGCCCAAACACCTCGGCCCATAGTTCGGCCCAAATCCATAATATGAGATGTTTTCTTGGCCTAAGACCGAGCTATACCAGCCCTTATCTCGGCCCATTGCGCGGCTCAACTTCCAAAGAAGACTTTTCTAGCTCGGCCTAATTTGCTTACAAATTACTCTCTCAATTTCCCCTTAATTCCATCTGCGCAGCATGATTGGGCTTACTTTCCTCTAGCCGAGCTAAAAACGCTCAACTCTGCCGAACTAGAGAAGTTTGTTCGGTCTCACCACTCGTTCAGTCCCAACAAGTCTGGTCAGTTGCTCAGCACGTCATTCCACTAATTTGGCACGTCTGATACGACGTTA